TGTAGTACCACACCACTTTGGTTAAAGTGTGTTCCCAAGCTTGTGGATGGAAGGTTGTCTTCCAAATTAAAAAAAAACCTCAGTTCATCTCTGAAAACAAAAATTATTTTAAAGAGTATATAGTAATAGTTGATATCACATTTAGAAGACCAAGATGACAGGTATTCAAGTATGTTTTTTGTACTACATATTGTTGTCCTCAATGTAGTTGCTTAGATCACAGATATCTGCATACAGAGTTAGTCAAGGTGAAAATTTTGCACACTAACTGCTATTTTCAAAAAGTGGATGGAAATTATCAGTACAATCACCTTAGCCATTCTGTATATATGCTTGCATGAATTTACCCTCTTCCTTTTTTCCTATCTTTTCTCCTTTCATCTTCATTGTTTAATCTTTAAGTTCTACTTCTTTCCATTTTACTATAGCTGTTATACCTTTCAGGTTTTATTGGGGAGCGTATTGTTTCTCTAGTTTCTCCCAGAGTGAGTTTGTTATCTATGTAGAGGAATGTTATTGATATTTGGGTGCTGAATTTATATCCAGTTATGCGACTGGATTTGTTTATTAATTCTAGTAGCTTCTTGGTGGATATTTTTGGGCTTCCAAGTACTGTATCATATCATCTGCAAATAATGATAGTTTAACTTCTTTACTTATTCCTTTCATTTTTCTCTCTTGTCTAATGGCTCTAGCTAATATTCCAGAACTATATTGAATAAGAGTGGTGAGAGAGGATATCCTTGTCTTGTATCTGATTTGAAATCAAAAGCTTTCAGTTTTTCTCCATTCAGAATTGTGTTGGCTGTTCATTTATCATAGATGGCGTTTTATCAGGTATAAGCCATCTATTGCAGTTTTCTGTAGGGCTTTGTCCATGAATTAGTGTTGGACTTAGTCAAACTCTTTTTTTGCATCTATTGAGATGATCATGTAATTTTTGGTTTTGTTCCTACTGATATAGTGTATTACATTTATAGATTTGCGTGCATTCAACTATCCTTGCATCCCTGGGATGAATCCTCCCTGGTTGTGGTGTATAATCTTCCTGATAATTTCCTATATTCTATTTGCTAGTACCTCATTGAAGATTTTTGCATCTATGTTCATGAGTGAGATTGACCTACAGTTCTCTTTTTTGGTTGGTTCCTTCTCCAGTTTCAGTATCAATATAATACTTGTTTCCTGGAATGATTTTGAGAGTATTGCTTCCTTTTTAATTTCATTGAGGAGTTTGAGGCATATTGAGATTAAATGTTCTCTAAATTTCTTGTAGAATTCAGCTGTGACTCCATCAGAACCTGGGCTTTTCTTTGTTTGTAAGCTTTTTATTACATTTTCAATTTTGTTGGCTGATATTGGGTTATTTGGAATTTTTGTATCTTCTTAATTCAGTTTTGACATTTTTTATCTATCTAGGAATATATCCATTTTTTCTCTTTCTTTGATCCTGTATGAGGAAAAATTTTCACAATAGCTATTAATGATCTTCTGAATTTCCACAGGATCTGTAGTAATTTCCCTTTTCATTCCTTATTGCTTGAATGTGAGTATTTTCTTTAATCTTTTTGAGATTGGATAGGGGTTCATCAATTTTATTTAATCTTTCAAAGAATGAGCTTTTGAATTCATTAATTCTTTGTATTATTTTCTTTGTCTCGATTACATTAATTTCTGCTCTAATCTTTGTAATTTCCTGCCTTCTGGGGGCTTTGGGCTTGATTTGCTCCTCTTTTTCTAGAAGCTTGAGGTGCATTTGTTCTCTCTCTGTTTTCCTGATGTGTCGGTTTACCATTATAAATTTCCCTCTGAGAATTGCTTTCATTGAATCCCACAAATTCTAGTAAGTGTGTTTGAATTTTCACTGTATTGTAATATTGTTCAATTTCATGTCTCATTTCATCTGTAACCCATTGGTTGCTGAAGAGGGTGTTCTTTAATTTCCCTATGCTTATGGGGTTCTGTGGTTTCTTTTGTCATTAATTTCCAGTTTCATTGCACTGTGGTCTGATAATATGCAATGGGATAATTTGTTTTCTTGCATATACTTGAGCATGATCTAAGGGTTAGTATGTGGTCTATTTTAGAAAACTTCCCATGTGCAGCTGGAAAGAATGTGTATTCAGATGTTGAATGGAACACTCTGTATAGGTCCACTAAGTCCATTTATTCAAAGATTTTATTCAGTTTCTCTACTTCTTTGCTAATTTTTTGTCTGCTTGACCCATCTTTTTGAGATAAGGGGGTATTAAGGTCTCCTGTTAAGATTGTGATATTGGTTATTAGATTTTTCATGTCCTTTAAAATTTGTCTTATATAGTTGGGTGCTCCCATATTTGGTGCATACATATTTATGATTGTTATCTCTTCCTCTCGAATTTTTCCCATAGCTAGTATATATTTTCCCCTAGCCAGTATATATTTCTTCTTTATTTTTCATTTTCATTTTTATTATTTTATATATATATTTTAGGGAAGGGTCTACAGGATGCTCAGGGTCTCACTACTAGATTGAACTCATAGTGATTCTCCTATTTACAGCCTCCCAAGAGCTGAGATAACAGACGCGCATCACCATGCCCAGTCTCAATCGCCATCTAAGCATGCCCCAGGGGAGGGGTCAGCATTGCAGGCCTGGGGATCAAACCCCCAGCCCCTGCACCTGCTTGCATGTGCTTTAATCCACTGAGCTATTTGGACAGCCCTTATAGTTCTTCTTTATCTCCTTTGATCATTCTTGGTTTGACACTCAGAATGTCTGTGAATAGAATAGTTACCCCTGCTTTTTTCTGAGGTCCTGGAGCATGTAGTATTGTTTCAGGGTGGGAGTTTTTATTTTACTGGATTCATCCTTTCTGCCCTCAAAGCCCCAGACTTTCATTTTCTCATATCCCCCACATCCTCACCCAGTGGGACAAAACAAATAAAATAAACCAGTGTCAGATTTGGTACTAGCAGATTTCCCACAGAATCTTTCAGGTCTTTCTCTTGCATCTTAGAAACTCTTCAATGGAGAACCTGACATATAGCCTGCATGTAACTGCTGCCAATAACAATACAGAGGAACAAAAGGCAAGAAGAGCAGGAACAGGAAGATAAGGAAAGTGAAGGAGAAGAAGAGAGGGCAAGGAGGAAGTGACAACATGGGAGGTGGAGGAGAAAGAGAAGGGAGGAAGCAAATGACAGAGAACTTTTACTGACCAGCCCTCTGTCCCTCGGGGCTAAGGGCACTGCATGAAATCCCAAATTTGTTCACACAGTAATCTCACATAATAGGTGCTAATTTTTGCTGTCCTTTTACAGAAGAAGGAACTGAGAATTAAATAAGTCACTAGTAAGGGACAGCAGTAGAGTTTGATTCCATATTTGTCTGATTTTAGGTTTCTAGCTCTTAGCCAACTCCAAAAATTTGGGGGGGAAAATCAAACAAAGGAATGCACTTATCTATAGCTGGCTTCTCCCACAAGTTTTCCGAATATCTAGGCAGGGGAAACTGAAGTATTTTGTTGTTGTTGTTGTTTTTTCAGTGAGATGTTTGTTTTTAATTTTCCTACTCATGCCTTCTTTTAAATGCCTACATGCAAACTGTTCGGTTAATGAAGAGAAACATCTAGACTCTTCCTATGCTGTTTATTTGTTACAAATAACACACTCTGAAGCCAAATGAGCTTCTCATCATTTTAAGGCATACTGATTACAGCTTAACAGCACCCTATCAGGCTGTTGACAGGATGGAGAAGATGGACTGCCCGGTGGAATGATTTAATTTTACCAATAAAAGTGAGACTTTTAAATGCCTTTATTATAACTTCACTGCTTGACATTGACTATCAGCCTGTATCATATTATTCAGTATCTATTTCAGAAACATCCGGAGCCTCACACATGGGTTGGTATCTTAGAGCCAACTGGTCACCAACATAGCAAGTAATACAATTACTTTTTTAATGTTCTCATGCACCAGGCAGAGGCAGCCAATATTGCACTCGGCAAACACACCTAGCGCCAGGAGACGCAGCAGGCAAGCAGCACCGTCTGAGCATGCTCCAACTCAGGCAGACACCAGCAGTGGGCAGGTGGACTTAGTCACTGGCCATTATGTAGTCTCGGCAGTGGTCACCACTAAACTCATTGCACAAACTCCCGTGCACCAGTGTCTCGAGGGGTTTGAAAGGTCTGTCGTCATGAAACGCTCACCACCATTCAGACAGAACATCTTCTTCTCCGCACACTTCCTAAGATAGCTCATCCCAGGGACAATGAGGACGCTAGGTAACACCCATCTAGAGGCAAGCGGGCAGAAGGATCTCATTAATGACATGCTAAGCAGGTTCAGATAACGTACTGATTGTAATTTTCAAAATAGTATTTGCAATCATCTTATTCACTAAAAGTACTTTGTATTAGCAGTAGAATCGGAAGATAATTTCCACCTATCTGTTAAAATGAAGTCATGTGTGTACTTACAGAGCTACTTTCAGGCTGCCAGCTTTTATTTTCCTGCTATCGTGCTTTCATGAGCAGTCACTAATTTCCTACTGTTAGGTACACATGGCAGAGGGCTTCTCAATTAGCTTTTACTTGTATTGTCGCAGCAAACAAACCTTCAATTATCTTTGGTAGCGTAGGATAAAATATTTTCATAGGCAGGAAGAAAAAGTCATCTGGTCCTCAATCAATTGCCTTACGTCAACATCATAAAATGCTAAGGGAGCCTTTTGTGATACTAATATTTTGTAACTCAATTCAAAGTTTTTCCAGTTAGCATGTTTATAATACATGTCCAAACAATACCTATTTATCACATCATTTGCCACCAGGGAGAGGGGTGGGTCCTGTTTCCTTTGAGATGATGTCAAAGTTTCTAGAAATGGTTGATAGCTGCACTACTGTCCATGCTGATAAAAGGCTTTTGTTGTCTTTCTCTGGCTGGGTCACCTGTGGGAATGATCACACAATAGAAAAACTTTCAAAACCTTTGGTCTACTGTTCATTGAACCTTTTAAGCTTATTTCCCAAATCTGAAAATTTCCCATTCTTTATGCTAACTGTATTTTCCCAGTATGCCAAGGCAAGTTTATTCTCTGTACCACATCAGCAGCTAACTTTGATCTTCCTTGTAGGACATATGTGTGTTTTTATTTTTTTATTTTATTTTTATTTATTTATTTATTTATTTTTTTGTAGAACCGGGGATTGAACTCAGGCCGTTGCACTTGCCAGGGAAGCACTTATTCCACTGAGCCATCTCCCGGGCCCCCATATGTGTGTTTTTTTAATATTAGTCATGTTGGGCTGGTGAGATGGCTCAGTGGTCTAAAGCACCTACTTAGAACAAGCTAAGCTAAGCAAAGCACAGGGACCGTGGTTCAATCCCCCAGCACCACATGCCAGCCAGCTCCGCCCCCTGGTGGGCTGAGCTGGCCACACACACACTAAATAAATAAAATTTAAAAAAATATATATTAGTCATGTCTGCTCACCTTAGCCCTCACCCTATATTATTCTGAAGAATGTGATTCTTAAAGTGACAGAACTGACTATGAGGAGTGACATGTCTTTCTCCTAAAGGTAAGGATGCAGTTGAAATCTGGCATTCATACTGTCTGAGAAAAAAAACAACAACAACACTGTCAAGAACTTGAATCAAGGGACTGGGGAGATAGCTCAGTGGAATAAGTGCTTGCCTGGCAAGCACAAGGTCCTGAGTTTGAGCCCTGGTACCACAAACTAGAGCTGTAGAGAATGCAATGGATATGAAGTTAAAAGATTCAGGTTTGAAATTTTGATGCACTTGTTGGAAGATCTGAGTGTGACATTTTGCTTTTAAATGCAAAATGGTGGAAAATGTATTACTTTGTAAAACACAAGAAAAAGCATTAGAAAAGGTGTTATAAACTATAGTCTTTTACACAAAGCATCAGTAATGCCTTTGTCCTCCCTAGACAAGAACACATGACTAAAATTGCCTTCAGATCCACGAAAGGGCAGCAAATGCACAACCCTGACATTAACCTTGTCCCAGAAGAAAAGGGGACCACAAATAGTAAATTGAGTCCAGGACAAGTTTCCTCTTGTCCTTCACTTTGAGCCAGGCCGGGACTCAGAAATTCCTCACTCTTTTCTGGTCACAGCTGGAAGCCCTGGGCTATGGACTGCTGTGGCACTCACAGGGCAGGATAAGACCTGAAGAAGGTGATAAAGCCCCTAGAGAAACTGAAATTTCCTCATCCTCCTCTACCTTGTCTTTGACCTTGAAAGAATGCTTTGTTCTTCTCCTTAGCCTACCACAGTCACCATTACTATTCCCAGAAATACCCACTGCCTTCCACCCACTGTCCTTGGCCCAGATGTCATGAATAAACACCTATGTTCTGGGTTGCTCATAGTCACCCCAGATCTCTGTTGCACCTCTATTTTTTTTCTTGCTTTTTCTTCCCAGCATGCACCATAACACTGGGAGGAGATTGGGGACTCACTACTGGGGCTCCTGATAACTGGCACCATAAAAGCATCTCCAATGAATAGGTGATATTGGCTTACAATTGGCATGTAGGGGACGTTGGCAACAAAGTAATGTAGCAGAAGTCAAGGAATATAGTGTAATAATAGGCTGGAGAACAGAAGATGAAAAACACCAGCCTCATGACTCATGGCAGAAAACCATTTACTGAATGATTCCTGTATGATAAAATTGAGGAAGAGTATAAGACGTATTTTTGAAGAACTTTCATCCAGTAGCAGCTATCACTAGTACTTGCCAACATTTATGAATCTCATTCTCTCCCTCAACCCACCTCATGTGTCATTCTGTATGAAAATATCTAACAGAATTCTGCATATTCTTTTCTCATGCTTCAGAAATGGTAAAAACATGGTGTTTTTGTTTTTATTGTCCTGAGAGTAAGCCCAGGGCATTTAGGCATGCTAAGCATGCTCAAACACATTTGTTGCAGTAAACCAGAGCATATTTGGTATTATTTGTCATTACATCATAACCTGGCCTATGCTGACAAATACACATTACAAATTATTATACAATGAAAGACTATATGCACTTGAAGGAGAAAGAGCTGAAGATTTTCTTGCAGGTCAGCCATCAAGAAGTAGTTCTCCTGGAATACATAGCTTCTCTAAGCCTCAGTAGTATCCCTTTAAAATAAATAATACTTGCTTGAGAAAGAGCTTTTTTGAGAAAGTGTCTGGCTAGGTACTTGAAAAGTGCTCTTCTTATTATTCCTCAGAAGTAACACAATGCACTTGAAATATATGACAGTAGATAGAACAGTCTTGGCAGGGGCAATACACACACGGCAGGGTGCCTTAGGCAGGTGCAGAAGAGCTGTCAAGTGCAGGAGAGTAGTGGTCATGCTTGACGGTGAGAGGGGCTGAGTGCTCTCTGGCTCATGACATCAATGGTGAGGGGCTGTGGAATGCTGAAGGGGTAATTTTGTGTTCTGCAGCTGCGTCTTTCTTTCTTGGTGGTAGCTCTGAGTATGCTGCAGGACCACCGGCAGCAGGCAAGGAGCAGCATTCTTTATTGCTGTAGCTAATGCAGGAATGTGCAACCCTCTTCCAGGACTGACTCTTGACAGCATCCGAAAGTGCTGCTTGTATGTTCTTGATTTCATGCTGATGCATTTCTAGACATGAAAGCTATGTTTTCCCTGTCTCCTTTTTGCTATCAACCTAAAATGGAATATTTTGGGGGCCAGGGAGATGGCTCAGTAGAATAAGTGCTTTCCTGGCAAGCACAAGGGCCTGAGTTCAATCCCCTGTTCAGTGCCCCCCAAAAAAGAATACTTTTGGCAGAAAAAAAAGGGGGCAGGGGTAAAAATAAAACCACAGTAAGTCTGAGATTATGTTAAAGATAAAATTGAGTGGACTGAGATGAAGAAAATGTCTGAGCCCGAAGCCCACATTTACCCCTCTCCTCTAGTCCTCTGGCTCCCTAAATCTCTGTTAGAGAAAATGTGCAGGTCTTTTATTGTCCCCAAAATGCCTTTGATAAAGAATAGAAAGCCTACAACCCAGTGGTCCCCTGTCATTGTTCTTGGGTCCTACCTCACAGGACAGAAGTCCTTGTTGTGGCATTTAGAATGCATGCGTAGAGTCACTGGTCACAGCTCCACTTTCCCCCAGTGGCCTCCACGCTGGTCCTTCCAGCTGGTCCTTCCTTCCATCTGGCCTGCATCACAGCAGCACCCATCTCAGAGCTATATACTTAGCCTGTGTCAGTCGGAAGCCACACTGACCACAGTCACCAGACCCAGGGGATCGTGCTGACACACTTGGGTCACGGTGGGGTTGGAGCCAGGCCAGAGAGATCCTGCTGTCCAGATCCCCACACTCAGGAACTGCTCCCCTCTGGGAAACCTGCACTGCCTGAGGTTAAACTGAAAACCAGAGTAAGACAGTAGGACAGCTCTGCCCACCTTCACGCCCAGCCACTGAAATATGAGTGTACTGAGCTACACTTAGAAAGAGCACCGCGGCCAGCCTGGTGCTCCCCAGTGCAGCAGGCTGCAGAGCACTGAGTGACTCCCGGGCTCGCTGCTGGGTGGGAGAGCCCCGCCTTCACACGCCAGCCGGGCACATTTCACTGTCAGGCAGCATTTCTGAGAGCGCTTTTGAAATGATCGAAGGTTTATTGCTTGTCCACTAGCACTGCATGCAAGCAAACATTTTTGTCATAAGCGCTTTTGTAAAAGTATAAGCACTGTTGTCACTTGAATCTATGTCCAAGTGTGGGTTGTCACTTGTGCTTTGGCCTGTACGTGTGGTCACCAGTATACGAACATGCATGTGCAAGCACGTGTGTCAGCAAGCACGTGGTCTTTTGCATTATCCTTTTAAGAAACTGTCTTTTAGTTTTTATTTTTTATTTTTTGTCTTTTTTATTTTTTTATTTTTTTGTCTTTTAGTTTTTAAACAAATGTGTTTTACTGGATTGCGTAGAGCACTCACTGTGTTCATCCCCAAACTTGTTTATCACTCAACTTTCACACTGTTTCTTTTCTTTTTTTGATACAGGGTCTTACTACAGTTATGCACCTTCCTCTTTGGATTCACCAAGAACCTTGATAAAACAGTAGATCTCAGTTTTAAAACTTACAAAATTTTATATGATTAGTTTCAGTTTTCCAGATTATAAGATTTGAATTAGGTTTAATCTATAAATTACCATGATAAAACATAGTGTTTGCAATAACTGCATTACACTACTACTAATTTGTAGGTTGCTTTCCTTCCTTACTGTTTAAGTTCCAGTGACCTTTGTTTTCATGTTGGTGTTCTACATGCAGGTATGAATATTATTAAAATACAGATTTAGTTTTGCACTCTCAGTATTCCAAGCAATCATCCCGTTGTACACTAGTGCGGGCTCATGCTGCTTAAGCTCTAGTAGTAGAAGGGCCAGCCACATGGCTCAGCAGACTACAGCACCTGCTTGGGCAGAGCACGGGGTCTGGGATCCCATCCCTGCCATGCCGTGCTGGCCCTGCCCTTGGGGCGCGCTGAGACAGCAAAGGAGGCCCGGCATGGTGGTGTGCGCCTGTAATCGCAGCACTCGGGAGGCTGAAAAGAGGAGGAGCACTACGAGTCCGATCTGTGTCGTGAGACCCTCTAGACCCCGTAGTAAATACATTTAAAAAAAAAGAATTAGTAGTAGATAGCAAACTATATTCCTTATCTAAGAACTTTACAGAGACAAAAATGAAAGTGATGCACAGAATAAGGAACATGCCTCCAACATCCACAGATTAGAGAAGCGGGTGACATGCGACAAATGAGGTGGACGTGCCAGGAGAGGTGTTTTAGGACAGCTTTGACATTGTTGTGATTATCTAATTGACCTTTTCAGTATTTCTTCTTGATTTTGAGAACGTTGCAATCATTTGAGTCGGGTGTCATTTTTCAAAAATATGTTTTATAGATTATTACCAAAAAAATCTTGCTGAAAAAAACCTCAGTTAATTAAGTAAATATGATAAAGTCTCAAGGCTATTTTTTT